TTAAATTGATAAATTTTTTAACATATACATGGTCATTCACTTAATTAAACTTTATAAAATATGTAGCATATCAGAGAAAAGTTCCTTTTTACATACATAACTAATAAACATTTTTAATTTACTTTTATATTCTAGTAATTATATGAAAATATATAGCAAATTGATAAAAATATTTTTGTGTCTATACATATTAGATTTTTTAGTAATAAAAGAAATTTGATATAAATTTAAATCTTACATTTAGCAATATAAGTAGAGGCATAATTTATTTTCTATATAACGCCCGTTAATCATTCATGTAACTGGTAGTAATTAATATCAAACAAACGACTTAGAATACAGTTAACACATTCGTTTTATGGTTCCTTCGGTTATTATCCAGATAAATGAAAGAACTCGCTTATGTTGTACGTAGAAATGTGTCATACCTTTTTAAAAAATAATGCAAATATTGTTCATACTCCTCTTTTTTGTTTTTCCCATTTATTATTTTAACAAGCGCAATGAGATAAGTTTTTATTTTACATTTCATTTTGCGATTATGTTTAAGAAATTATCGTGAAAAGCAACTATTGACGTACCCACGTTCTCAAGATAGATTTTTATTTAACCAAGTGATTCTATTTGTCGTTTATACAGACATTTATTAACGCTATCATTATACTTCAATATTTTGGATCATTTTCATCAAAACTATATATTATCATACTTTCATATCTATAGCATATTCTAAAAAAATTTCCACGTTGCATAACATTTAATTTCACATACGTAATTGTCGACACTGAATCGCGTAGACGCTCTCGACAAGCATTGATGTCACCGATTACACTGATTTACGAGAATGATTACATAACGATTTAAAACGAAGAAAAAAAGGAAAACTTTGGAATAATAATTTCACAGTATAAAAGCTTAATATTTGTACTATAATTAAAATAAAAACAAAAGGTTTTTTCGAAACGTCCAATATTATTAATAGTAGCATGCAGTAGTAAGACGAAATGAATCCAGAAATATTAATGTGTAAAAGTATATAATGTTTTAGGTATTTAATAAATAATTATGCTGAATAATTAACAATAATATCTATTGTCATTTTCATTGTTTCAAAAGATATACGTTAAAACGTTCGATTTATAATTAAAATAAAAACAAAAGGTTTTTTCGAAACGTCCAATATTATTAATAGTAGCATGCAGTAGTAAGACGAAATGAATCCAGAAATATTAATGTGTAAAAGTATATAATGTTTTAGGTATTTAATAAATAATTATGCTGAATAATTAACAATAATATCTATTGTCATTTTCATTGTTTCAAAAGATATACGTTGAAACGTTCGATTCAAAATTTTTTATATTTTAGTAGTTATGCACCCCCAAAAATGGACTTTGGTGGCTCGGGATAAGAGACTTGTACTGTCTTTCAGTTTTTGAACATGACCGGAGACACTACCGCGTCTCCTGATAAATGAGAATCTTACGTCGTTAATTAATTTTCCTCGTCGCACTCTCTACAAATTAAATAAAAACACCTGCGAGAGATGTCGCGTAATTTATGATTTCACGTTCATTTAGAAAACACGACTTTAATGATACCACACTGTACACTGAACATATGATAGGTTTATATATACATACGAGTGGCTCGATTAAACACGTGTCTGACCGATGTTGTCATGTCAATCCCTCCAGCATAAACATTGCCATTGTTACTCATTGCATAGCAGATAACAGACGCCCGAGCCCCAGCGTGTAGTAATAGTGCAATAATTTTCATTGGTGATATATTCTGGACACAGCGGCCGAGCGCGCCTCTACGTTTTAAAATCGATGTATTGGCGACCTTATTTCCTTAAAACGCGTGAGCAAGCGCAGACCGAACGCCATTTCTGTGCTAGCGGGTTTTACGTGTTCCTTTACTGCTGTAAGCAAATTCGAGCGAATTGCGTTTTCTATACCGATTGGAAATGTGAGACACTTCCGATGTTTCAGTTTTATTACAAATCGGCAATTCTTTGACGGGTTTCGAAATACGCGACTGGTTAATTATAGAACTATTGAACGTTTTTGATTGATACACAAATTCTAGTATACTTAATGGTCATCTTCCTGTTTTCGACATAATTATTTATACCGAATTCTTGCTTAAGGATATTTGTTCTTACCTCCTTCTGTGTAACTAAGCTATAAATCGAGAGCGTGGCACATTAAGTCGAAAGTTAAACGTTGCACAACGATCAGCCGGTCGTTATAGAGCAATGTCTTCATTTTATCTAGCATACTGACGATATGTAGTCTACATGTCCAGAAGTCTAGAAATCTAGACCGTCTAATTTCATGAATTATTCTGTACCAAAAATATATGACAAATTCATATCACGGAATTGTTACATATTGCAATGATCGTGTAATTGCGATGCCAATAACCCGCGATTCGCATGTTCAGTCTAAAATACTATCACCATAATTTATGCCCCTTGGCGAAAGTAAAAGTACATAGATCTTGTGATCTTTAGGGGCTCGATTGTAAGTGATAAAAAAATTAGGGAAAGCAAATCACTCGCATGATAGCAAATATTATAAAACATCAAGATCTAAGTTAAATTAATCACGAGAAACACATATTGCTAAAAATGATACAATCAAGTGTATCTACATTCGATTAGAATTAAGAAACACGCGGAAAGCAACTCCTGCCAAGGCTCCACGCGCCTATTACCGGTCTCACCTGTCAGCTGCTAGCGAGTTGACAGCTCTGGTGCCTACGTCGAGCGCAGATCGCAAAAAACACATACATTTATACAACATATTAAAACGAGCTGGAGAATGGCAAGACTTACTTGATTAGAATCCTCCAGAAGCAACCAAAGCTGGAGCCGTTCGGCACTTCGCTCGCGTACGATATGGTCATTTCCTGTCTGATTGCGCGCGCGCAATCTCCTTCCTCAGTCACTACCCTCTTCTTTCTTCTTCAACTCGGTCTCTTCTGCTGTAGACGATTTGGTCCCTCGTACCGTGTCGATGATGTTTCCGGTGAAGCTGCACACTCGCGCACATGCGGCGCGCGGGCCGCTGATGCTGTATCCAATGTTTAGCTAATTTAATTTGAAAGTAGACACCAGGAGATCGGCACCGGGATGTACCTAGTCGCTCGCGATGGGTTTACCATGAGGAAGCTCTAGAATACGCGAATGGTTAAAACCAGCTGACCAGGCGGATCGACTGTCTACTGACTGAGCTCCACTAAGGACGGCGGGACCAACAGAGAACGGGGCCCGGCTGTGCCACCTCCACTTGGGAGCCAGGGATGTAACCGGCACTTCCAGAACCCACTTTGCACTAGACCTGCTTGGAGTGTTTCAGGTAGGGTCGAGCTTTTCTCTGAACTGGACAGTAAGAAGCAAGCAACGAGGCAAGTATTCTTACGAAATATCATTTTAAAGGTATCTTTTGATAAGTTATTTCCAGGTTAGCAAAATTGTGCAAACTTCGAATTTTTATTTCAATTCGCTAGGATTAGACATTGAATATAAACTGTTTAAACTGGTTGATTATGTTATTTCATCAAATATTTAGTTTCCTCATTTTTTAATCTTGCCAGCGAGTACATATGCACCGTGTAAATTTTATAGCAGCATAAGCATTGAGAAGACCTTACTAGAGACATTTAAAGTACCAATCACAGGAAAATCATATGAAATAAGTTTCACGTAAAATCAATATATTTTCTATTGTAAGGATTTCATGATTGAGAAATAAAGATAGGAGATTGCATGTCGGATAAACTATCAAGTTGACATGCATCTTGAGTGATATTGATCATGATTTAACAGGTAGATAATAAACTCATTTTAAGTGGCAATTTCATTTCTATGTTTGTCATATTCATCGAATGGCGTGCCGTTCTAGCGAATTAAATGTTGTTTCAGAGTCACCTTAAGTCACGTTTATTTGAAATCAACTAGGAATTTATGTAACTTTGTTGTAAAAAAATTTGTGACATATAGTTTACACGGAATTCCTCTTTCAAAATCAATCGACGCGCCTAGCCTTTCAAGTAGATCTATGGCGAGTAAAAGGGGAATGATTCAAAGTGCCGCTCTTGCCTCCTCAGCAATATTTGTACCGCCAGAAGTTTCCACATTTCATTACTCTTTGCGCACTGGCTCTGAATCATCCTTTCATCGTCCCCTTCTTTATATCATCGTCGACTTATTCAACCGTATCATTATTATCAGTATACCTAATTACGGTATACGTGACGATAAATGAAGATGCATGATCGTTTCGTTACTCCGTACTTCCTCCAAGGATAGATCGGACTCTTACGGCCCTGTGCGGCCGTTCAAACACAAGTGGTTGCAGATATATTCGCAAGTATTGAGCACTTCCAAAACGCCATCTTGCGCACAGTTTTCGCATCCTTCTCTCACCTTGCCGTGGCCTAGCCTGCGGCGTAATAATGGCCTTCTGGTACCATCCACCGGTCACCTTTCGCTCGTTCACGCGCCGAGAACACGATGACATGCGCTCTTACCGCTTTCTGGAGGTGCCAAAGATATTTATGCAACGGGAAACTCCAAAAATATGAAGTCACAGTTCGTCGAAAGGCTTTACTCGGAAGCAATAAGAGATTCGAGTTGTGCCAACAAAAAGTCACGTGTGCCAGATATTGCCAGATGTTATAAAATAGGTCATTTACGTCATTAACTCGTCGGGTTGGAGGATTTCAGGATCTGAAAGATCTGAAGCTTGTTAGTCAGAGAATAACGTCATTTGCGAGGACCATTCCAGCGATTCAAAATATCATGAAATTCGAGAGAAAATAATTCGGAGAATCCATTGGTAGTCTCCGTCCCGATTCATATAAATTAGCAATCTGAGCATTCGCGGTTGCCGCACGTCACCCTGGACGAGTCGGAAAAGACTTTAGTTGTGCCGTAAATGGTTTTGCGGTACCGATTGTAACGGTACAAAGTACTAGGATAAGCTGTATAATTTATTACACTCGTATTTTTTTTTTTTACAAATAAATTAAATATGTTTACAAGATCCCTTTTCACGTATTACTCAATCTATTTGATTTTGATATCCTTCTGCACCTTGTATACAACTTTCGCTGAATTCTGGAACAGCTTTTTCTCGTGTTCAGTCATGTGCATTCGTATTATCTGTGTGATACCATTTTCGCCTATCGCGCAAGGTAGGGATAGGAACATATCGTGACATACGTTGTGATGACCCTAAAAAGACAATTTTGATTAGTGTGTGTGTAGAATATGATAGTTTTGCATACTAACTTTTTTAATGTAAATGTTACATTTTACTAAAAAATATTTTATTTTAATTTTTAAAGATACACAAAATGCAACGCGTGTTACTGTATTTGATCATCAATCCAAAAATATTTTATTTATTTATTTACTTGGTTTCAGCTAATATTTAATATTACGAACTTTTTATGTATTTTCAAAAATTAAATTAAAAATTATTACCGTAAATTAATTGCAAATATATAATTTATACCTGCACTAAGGTCGAAACTGGTATAATAGTTTGTGTATTACGTAATATGGCTATTATGATATCGGCTGCAGAAAGTCCAATGGCTGTATTTGAGTATCCTTTCAGACAACGCACCATAGCACCTCTGAAAAATATTAAATCCTTACAAAATAGTGCAAAAATTCTATTTAATTAAAGTTGCCGTTTAATTATATATACAACTGTAATTGTTTGCTGACATTATACATAGTAATTTAATTAAATGTTATTTGTAAAATATATGAATCTAAAATATAAAATAAATCTTTATAAAAAATATTCAAGTTTTTGCAGATACGTTGAGTATGCAAGACAATTGATATTATTGATCTTATATTGATATTTCGTAAAATCTAATATTTTCTCTGTTCATTTAAGATTATTGAACTTACAGTTTCACTATATATTTTGATATTTCGAACCACTTTTCATCATCCGTCTCGAGACCGATATTCGGGATAATATCGCGGAACTGCACTCCCGCAACGCTCACACCGGACCAGAGCGGAACTAGGAAACATCGAATGATCGGGCTTAATGCGTAACGTCGCCTTTCTCCCCGTGTCAAATGTCAAAGATCGATCGATAGAGCTCACCCATACTGTCCCCGTGTTCACCAATGATGTATGCTTGGACCGAACTCGGCGCTATTCCTAATCGATCAGCAATCATGTAGCGAAATCTTGCGCTATCCAGATGAGTTCCGCTACCGATTACCTGATGGACAGGAAGTCCACTTAATTTCCAGGTGACCCATGCCAAGATATCCACTATAAGAGAAAATCACATTTATAATTTATCAAATTTTCTTGTATAAATATTATTCATATAATATATCTAATATTACGCATTTTAATGATCAACGTAATAATTTGCTGATATAATAATTATTTTTCAAATAATATTTATACATCTATTTTTATATTAAATATTTTATAAATTAAAATTAAAATCTCTTAATAATTATCTTTCTTTTCTTAAATAAACATTCAATTAATACAAAATTTAATTAATTAAAATAATAAGAAATTTCTACTTTATTTAAATAAAAAATTATTCAATTTTATTAAATATCAACAATATTTATACTATTAATCATGTGTGTACAGAAAAAGTGATTTTTTTTTCTTATGTGTATAATGCCAAGATATTTTTTTAAAGAAACATCAAATAAATATTTAATTTGCAACATTCTCGGAATCTTTAAATACTATATACATAATATTATTTTCATTAAATACTTTGTTTTATACATACCAATTAATAAAATTGTTTATTATATTAATTAATTTTAACCTGGATTACTAATGACAATAAACACCGCATTTGGACTATAATTTGCTAGAGGTGGTATTATGCTTTTCAATATTTCTGTATTTCTTTTCACCAAGTCGAGTCGAGTTTCACCCTTCACTGGTCGTACACCCGCGCAAATAGCTACGACTTTCGAATTACTCGTCACACAAAAGTCTACAAAAGAGATATTTTTGTGTCTTATACACGAGTAAAAAAATTGTTGTACATGAAAAGTCAATTAAACTTGTAAGATATAAAGTTATGGTTACATTTGCACATAAACAATAAATCTACGATTTTTGCATAACTCTAATACATATTCAATGAAATCCATTACCTGTATCATACTCGATCTTTGGATCTCCTATAAATACGGAACTGTGGCTGTAGTCCATTCCTTCGCCTTCCAGTTTTTTAGGAAAGACATCTACCATTGCGATATGTGAAGTAATTCGCTAATATTTAATGAAATAACAATACAAATTTACAAAATACATCACTAAAAATTTAATTTTTAATATTTCTTTAACTATAACTTTAATATGTCTATCATTTATTTAAAGCACAATGGGTCATTTATAAAATAATATCATTATACATATAATGCAAATATAATACATTATAACGTTTATGCATTCTTTTTAATTGTATTTATAATACAATTAAAATTTTTATTTTAATTTGAAATAAAGTAAATTTAGTAAGTAATTATAATTCAAATCGTATTTAAAATTTCAACTAAAAAGGAATAATTCTACCTGAAAAAGAAGTGAATTGGCAAGGGCAACACCGACCATACCAGCACCAACAATAGTTACTTTATGGCCACAATCTTTAACTGGTTCCGACATCTTACATAAGAGTTCTTCTCGCAAGCACGGCGAACTGGAATTCGGAAATTTACTTTTTTTTAAATTTAACGGCAAAACATTATATTATAATCACTCACGGAATTATTTATGTAAACTATATTTTTGTAAAATTATAAACTGTCTAGAAACTGATTACTTTAGTTCTTTCAAAAAATCCTCTAATAATTATATTAAAAGTTCTTAGTAACTATTAGAAAAATGTATTAAATTTAATACTAATAATAATAGCTTAGTCTTAAAATTCTTTATACATACTACATTTATATAAAATATAATAAAAAATAAAAGGAAGTAAACAATGTGTTGCCACATACATAGAAATTATAATTATCTAAATTGTTTTAAACTAAGAGAGTATAATTAAAAGGTTCAAATGAAAATTAATGTAATAAATTAACAAAAAAATATTCTCAAATTATTAAAATAATTTAAGAATAAATTGAATTCCATTCTTAATATTTCGTTTAAAATTACAAATATGTCATTATATGTCAATATATACATGACAACATAAAAATTATTACACAAAATTAACCGCTCTTTGTACTCCCGAACCAGAACTCGCATCTTTCCCAAAAGATTTTCCTTTATCACGTCCTAAGATTTTTGTCAAGACCGTCGGCGGTAAAGTGCGAGTATATCGGTTCCTGACGAAGTCTCTTGTTAATGTCACGCGTATCAGATTTCTCAGACATATCGGTAGTAACGAGTTTGACAGTAGAGGTGATAAAACCATTGCTTCTGTCACTCATTGGTTTTGTAAACGTCGCACGATCGTTTTCACCCACACCTGTCACATTGCACGAAACCGTTTTTTTCTTGAAAAGAGAGAGTACACTGTAACTATAATCGACCGACATAACATTCTTGGCATACAGCCATTATGATCATGTCGGTTCGCCAATTGTTAAACGCATCCATGGTTACTAACATAGTATATTATAAATAGGCGTTCAAAAAAGAGAAGCATGTACAAAATTTATTAATAATTTAAAAATGCTTTATTATCTGCTTTTCTTAATTAAAATTTAGTAAAATCATACGTTATTATATTATACACATATAACAATGCATATTTTATATATAAACATAAAACACATAAATACAACTTTCATAGAATCGTATATTCGTTATACATTGTAATATGATAAACAGTATTTTTTTGTAAAATATGTATGAAAGAATGAATAATATAGTACAAGTTAAATATTTTTTATTTTTATATTTATTTGTTATACATACAAATTGTTTTATTTTTGTGCCTTACAAACAGTACATTCAGTATTTGACATAATAATATTAGAAATGATTACATCATGTGTGTGTCAAATTTATATTAAATAAATAATAACATAAATAATTATAATATTGTAAAATAAATATTAAAAAATATTAAACTATAATAAAACTCAATTTTAAAAAAAATAGAAAATAAATAGGCTACAAATCTAAGGTAGGATGTAAGTTGCTATAAAAATATTTAAATACATGATAATAAGAGATGTTCTTGTCATAGACTAAAATAAAATTATAATAAAAAAAAATAAATATAGCATCATACACAGAGAAAGACACACTTTATGTTTTCTCATACATACGCCAGCAGTATAGAGCCGATTATATGTATAGTTACAAATATTTTAAAAAATTATTTTATTCACTTGTATATGTATAATAATTAATACTGTATTTATATCTAATAAGTACATCGTAATATATATATAAGTTATATATAAAAAAGCATCAAAAACACACATAAAAAGTAATAAGATAAAATTGAATAAAAAAACAATGTATCTTTAAAATTTAAGGCCTTCTTGCACCTTCTGCATCATCGCTGAAGATGTATGCAATGATGCAAGTTCATCATCTGTTAGCTTCTGCTGAACAATGTGTGTGACGCCATCTTCACCCAGTGTGCAAGGTAAAGATAAGAATACTTCTTCCTTAATTCCATGATGATCCTGAAAGAGAATATTATTTTTAATTAAATTTTTTTGCGTATCAACTACAAAAATAATTAAAAATATTCATATTAGAAAATTAATATATAATATAGATATTAATACCAGTATTTATATATAGATAATAACATTTTAATGTACGTATAATATATATATGTATTAATATATATATAATATATGATATAATATACTTTTTAAATTTTTGAACGATAATATATTTGTTATTAAAAGTATTAAAAATATAAAATAATTAAAAACTGTATAAAAAATAATATAAAAATTAAATTAATTTGTAAAGAAATTGAAAATATAAAATATTTGATGATCTTTAATTATATAATTATGTTTAACAAAGTATACAAATATAAATTTTAATGAGATTAAAGTTATATTTGTTATACAATGTATAAGATACTATAAGTTAATGTAGTAGGAATCCTTATTGTCGACTTACGGTAACCAATGTAGACACAGCATGCACTTGATTGGAATTTCTTACTATAGCTGATGCAAGTTGATACACACTGAGACCTATTGCCCATGAGGTATAGCCCTTTAGTTTAATAACTTCATACGCGCTTTGTATCACTTGTTTATGTAATTCATCCCAATGTTCCTCATCTTTATCGGTACCCACATACTCATTTAAATCACGTAGACGTACTCCAGCAACATTAACTCCAGACCATACAGGCACTGATACAAATAGAAAAACAATATCAATTATAATACACTAAAAACTTTATTTATTATTACTTTTTTATATATATATACAATATATAAATGCATTTATTTGTTTATAAAAATATCAAATTTTTAATTAAAAAAAGCTACAGAAAGCAATATTTTTTAGAATTATTTGTGATTTAGCTATCAAAAATATGATAAGTAATCATATCTTCAATAGATATATCAAACAATTCCAGCTAAATTTACTTTACTCATCTATATATTTATAATACAAAAATATTTCTATTTTAAAAGAGTATTTTACGTACCACTGGTATCACCATGTTCTCCGATAATCCAGCCGTGGCAAGACGTAGGTGCGACATTAAGTTTTTGCGACAATAGAAAGCGGAAGCGAGCAGAATCCAAATTTGTACCACTGCCAATGACTCTATTCTTTGGCAAGCCGGAAAGTTTCCATGCTACATAAGTCAAAATATCCACCGGATTGGAAACGATGAGGAGAATCGTGTTCGGGCTATATTTGACTAATTCAGGTATAATGCCCTTGAAAATGTCGGTGTTACGTTGAACCAGATCCAATCTGGTTTCACCTTCGCGCTGACGAGCACCTGCTGTCACAATGCAGAGGCTCGAGTTCGCGGATACGGCATAATCTGTGCTGGCACTCACTTTTGCATTTTTCATAAACGAACTGCCATGCTGCAAGTCTAACATTTCTCCTTTCAGTTTGTCCGCCATCACATCAATTAATACTACATCGCTCGAAACATGCTGCAATAATAATTTAACAAATGATGTGAATTTTACTTATATTATGTGTCACTGCAATTACATATAAATACAACACAGTAAATATACATTAATTATTTAGGATTTTATGTTATTATTTGTGCAATAATAAGAGTCATATCTTAATATTAAAATTAACTTATATAAAATGCTGTTCTACATTAATAGTTGCATAAAATTAATACAATTAACTCACATTTGTCAAAATACTAAAAGCACAGGCCATTCCAACTTGACCGACACCGACCACTGTGATTTTATTTCTACCGGTTGACACCGATTCTGTCACAGTAGTTAAAAGTTGATCCTTTATTGTTGTCATTTTCTGCAAATATTTATCAGAGTAATTTAATATTGTACATTAATATCAACAACTCCATAATTTAAATTTGAATATACATATATAAGTATATATATATTACGTTTACGTTACTTTATGTTTTTGAATTTATTAGAGTTACGCGAGTAATAATAAAATTAAATTTGAAATAATTGGTAAAAGTCGATAAAAAATAAATCACTGTATCGTGGAAATTGAAAAAAATCATTAAAAACGTGCATACAAAGACTCATTCTATCTGCTACTATTTAACAGAATTTTTTTCTAACTTATCCTTTTTTCTGACGTTAACATGAGTTGAATATTGTTAATAATATCAAGTTTGCATTTGCACCTTTTTTTTTACAACAAACTGCTGCGTCGGCAAATACTAAGTATTTCAAGAGACGCGGTTATAAAATGTATTATGCAGTTTCTCTACTTGTTGCACCTGCAACGAATGCAATCGATGATGCATACGGTTGTTAGATGGCAGTACCAGTCTATAATCAAGACTTTCTTGAGGTTGGTTATACCAACATTTCTCTGTCAGCTAGGTGTAAACGTGCGAACTATGATCCGGAAAAACACGTGGAGAGTGGAATTTAACTACGCATTGGTTTGCGAGATTTGTAGTCAGATCATTAATCACAGTTCGCTAATAACGCTTAACCAACAAGATATAATCGACGAAAGACTCGTACAGTATTCAGTATTATTAACTTACTACATTTTATACGGGAAGTAAAAAAACGATAAATTGCAATATACCGGTAACGGTACATGGTGTAATATGCTTTATCGTGTGTATGTTTTATCGCAAATAATAAGCAGTGACTGATAACGTGCAGCTATTCAAGCGAAATACACGGAAATACAACAAGATAAATTTCAATTTGTCACATAAAAATATTTCTCAATGTTAAATAATAAAATACAACAATAAATACAAAAATAATGAAAAATTTATTTAACTTAATCTTTCCTTAGTAATTTTAAGCAATTTTTAAATTATTTAGATGTCATAAATAATAAAGTTAAATGTAAAATAAATTTCAAATACATTTTAATTTATTTTCTCACTTTTTTATACACTGTGAGACTTTACAATTAAAATTAAAAATAATTTTAAGTGATATAACTGAAGAGAGATGTCACTGACCTTAATAAGTATTCTCTCTATACACTATTCTTCGACACTGTCAAACACAGACTGAACACGTTGCAGCTGGCGCACTGCTATTCTTCTACTGAACTGCCTGACAGTTCAGGGATGTGAATTCGCCAAGGTGACCTTACCCCACCTTCTATTCTACGAACGACAAGACAATGACGAAATATATGAAATGTCCATGATTATCTGGACGATACACTCCTAAAATTTTGAAATTGGAAAACAACAATTTATAAACTTTTTTTTTAATTCTAGCAAAGTATATCATATAAATTCTGATTTAAATGTTGTATTAAATACACAGAATACTTCAAACTGTTTCGTGGTTTCGAAGAAGCAACGTGACATCGCGCACGCGTAATATGACGCAACGTACGCACGTGATGGCTATGTTCATCATCGATCCAGTTTGATGAGACTTACTTCTTTTGAAACTTTCAATTTCCACCAATCATAAGGTACTAAGGAACGTCGAGAGTGGGGTAAAAGTATTTCTGGAAGCAATATACAAGTCGTGACTCCCGCGTTTTATACCATGGAACTTTTTATGGCGATAGGTAAAGTTAAATTTATCACAACGTCCTTGAAGACATAAAGTATGCATAAAGAAGTCCTTTAATATTCTAATAAAAAATAAGTAATTACATAAACTTATAGAAACTTAAAAAATTATAAACTAAAAATTAAAAACTTTAAAAATCTTGTAATTCAATATCAGAATTGCAAGTAGTGAAAATGGTCAATGAACTTTGAAAGATATTTGATATAAGATTTCATTTCAAATATTTAACATTGAAAAATTAAAATATTATAGGAAAAATTTTATTTTATTCTGTTTCTACTAAAGATAAATTGATTCAAAATGCACTGTAAGCATCGCATTGTTATTTAAAAGTAACATTAGGTAACAATCTATATATAACGTTATCTAATACGATTAATGAAAATAGCAGCATTTGGGAAGTATGAAATAAGATTACGGCTGAAGATAGATAATGTATCACAATATATGTATAATCCATGAATTAGCGATTTCTGTGAAGTAAAGATGAGTCAGAGACACCAGTTGCATGCTCTCTGACGCAACTTTCTGCGTACAGCTATAATGCTGCACGTTGCAAAAACGGTCATCGATCCATTTCGGAGTTTATACATATTCATGCAATAAAGCGCTCTTCTTTCATCTTATATCTTACACTTTTTCTCTGTCCTATATATGTTCCTCTTTCGTTCTATTGTATTTACACTCCCCACTACGGAATAGCCGTAGCTATATTTGATTGAGCGGATAAAGGCACTTCGCTTATCCAATTATTACACAAAGTACAGTATTGCATTGCGTGACACATCAAACTTATTGTCAAGCACGTATCAGTTTCTAAATAAGTTTTTACTTTTTGGAAAATTGTCACAACCAATGTTAAAAAAATAAAAAATTTGCAGGAATGTGTGCTGAAGTTTTAATTTAAATAATGTTTCAAAATAAAATATTTTTTACGGTTTTGTTCATTAAAAACGATAAATATTTAGTTGCTATTTCCACAAAAATCACATCAATTAAGGTCTATCCTGCTTTAATCTATTACTAAATTTATTTATTAAATATTGCGAAACAAGTATTAATATAGAAACGAAACATGCAAAAACTTGAATTGCGTGTTTTGTTTCTTTGCGGCTGAAAGTTGAAACTTGAAACACACAGTCAGTTGTATGCTTGTAGCAATGTTGTTGAGCGATATGACTGCGGTGCCAATATGAAGATGACACGTATAATTACAAGCCCGTCCAGCGGCGACAGCCTAAAGAGTTTTTGCCTCACCTGCGTCAATACATTATGTTCATAACTTCTGCGAAACAGATAGTTTATTCGTCATCACCGCTATTCCGAAGTTTTGTCTTCGTTAAAAAAACTCTAAAATTGCATACATTTGGATATTAGCTCTGTATGAAATAAACGGCATTGTCAGTGCGATGCAACTCTTGCATCATTTTAACGGATGCACGTAGACATCTATTGTTTGCACATTTAATGAATTCTAATAGCGATAGCATCTCTTACAGTTTATACACGCCCATGGAACACAAAAAATATAAGGTAGACGTAAGCAAATCAGCCAGTCACAATAGAGAACATAAAGTAATAATGTAAGCAGAAGTAACAAATCTAAAATGTTGATTTGCTTAATGCTTATGTATGTCTTATACTGCTTAAATTTTTTGTGTCAAGAGTAAATTGTTGCGTGTCGATAAAGCTGATATATTGTTAGCGTCACTTTGCGAAGATTATGATAATATAAATAATAATTAACTTCATTAGATGATATTTTAATAATTATATTTATGTACAGATAAACATACTCGAGAGATAAAATATAATAGTTGAAAATTATCGAGTATGAAATATATTTTGTTATAATTGCATAATTATGTACGTAAATAGCATTACACGCTAAGAAGATTTTCGTCGAAAACATGATTTCGTGAAGGTCAATGCCCGTGATTCTTAGCTAATATCATTCCCTGTTAGCGCAGCCTTTTCGCACGCACTCACACGCACACACATACACTCATTCCTGATGATACAACGTTAATCTGCAACATCGCGTTCTCCGAAATGTGACCACTCAACCAACGAGTGTTATATGTAAAACGGCGCAATCATCCGCATAGTAATCATCTTTTAAAATATGCGAAATGAGGCGCATTACAACGTCCTGCTGCGATTTCCATAAACAATGTGTACAATGTGCACGATTTGCCCTGCAGCCGACAAAATCGCGCGCCGAGGGGAGCGGGTGTGAATCCTTAAAGCCTCGAGTGAAGTGAACGAAGGAGAAAGGGAAGAACAGGACCTCATAATAGAGCAATTTAATAAATTGTCGAGCTTGGCAATTAGGACAGTGTTAGGGATCAACAACGAGACCTTGATATGGTAATTACCGCAGGGTAATACATGTGCATTCATTAGTGACCGCCGTATAGCATGTATGTAGCATATATGTACATGTATTCGGTTACGTTTGTATGTCAGACTCACGAATATTTCGGTTCTTTTCTCGCGACGTGATTGTAAATTACAGCCCGTAAGAAAACGCGCTCACCTTCGCGAGGAACCGCTCGCGGACACGAGTGTACATTAACTATCGTGTCTTACGTTGAAAAGGATTCGTTAAATTGTCTGAATACCTCGCGCAAATCATTCTGTCCGCTTACATTTTGGAGCAAATTAATATAAATGCGCAACACATGCTGTGACAATACCATCATGACGTAAGATTGTGAAAAGTCTGATATTTTTGGAAATAATATTGTCAGCGTTTTATAGCGCGAACCATAATTTATTATAATAACTTACATCATGCGATCGGAAACTTAGCAACAAGAAGTGTAAACAAATCTATACATACGAAAAGATGCATATGCTGTATTTAAATGTTAATTACTTGTTTCAAGTATTTCAAAAGTTTATATATCACTAAATTTATCGTAAGTTCAACATCAAATTTTATAATAAGTATATTGTAAATTAAATAATAAATTTAATACTTCACATTCAAGATTATTGGAGTAAAACAAAATCGATTTATTTATTATATAAAGTTTCATGTGAATAAAATTTTATAATATTCTATAAAAAAATAAATTCTTGCTTTAAATACTTGATAATGAGTTTTTTCTCTGTAATAAATAAATATATTTGAAAACTATTATAAAGAAAATAATTAAAATTAACAATTATTTTAAAAAATGTCAATTAAGTAATCATTTTTCTTGAAAAAAAAAATAATAGCAGAATAAAGATTTTCTATGTGTACATACAATTTTAAAAATTAATATTCGTATTAATATTATAAGAATCACTAAATGGTATAGGACTTTTGTATTTATTTCGATCCTATCTACCTTCATATGCGAGAATGGAAAATTCTCTTGCGAGACACTCTATATATATATATATATATATACACACACATACTGTGCTAATTAAATTAATTACTTTTTTTATTTATATAAAAAATTACTATTAAATTAATAGTGAAATATATCAAAATATAACGCGATAAGAAAGAATTTCTAAATTTAATTTTGCGTAAAACAATTAAGATAAAATTTTGAATATATATATTTAAATTTTATAAAAAATAATTAAAGTTTCTTATAAATATAATTTAAAATATCTCTAAAGCTGTCACTGCACGAGATTGTATCTGGTGCTTGTTCGCAGCTGCATTCCCATGCATGATACCGCGGGTGGTCGTCTTCGACGAGTGCGTTAAAAGCGCGCTCACGCGTGCAGCCGATGAAGGGAGAGAAAAAGAAAAAGAGACGGAGAAAACGGAGGTTGCAATAAGTGATTCTCCATACTATAAATAAACGGCGATACATCCTGAACGGCTTCGTTCGCCTGTAAATCTCGAATCGAGGCATAATTACCAAAGCAATTTGGAATCTGCCGCGGATCAAGGCGGATCTCCTCGCATATCCGGGTTTCACCGGATCTTCTTCAACCTCACGGACGACGGTAAGGTAGAATCTATTCATTCTCATCGGTAATCCAGAATTCTGTTATAAATCAGACCTCGAAGTTAATGCAGACCTATTTTATGCCGACGAAATTATAGTTATAGATAATCATTGGCTTCAGCATTTTATATATTATGAAATTACAAGAAAAATTTTTACCTATTTTTTATATAAAAAATTTTTCTTGTAATTTTATAATGCACAAAATACAGTAGCGATATCTAAAAAAAAACAATTCATTATGTCTGACAATACAATTAAAAAAAATACAATTCATTATATTGACGCTTGTTTTGTAGAAGTAGAGGAATATATGTTCTATTTATTTCCACTTCGTTAATCATAATTTGTATTGCAATATATGCACAATTCAATGAGAGAATCTATATTTGTTATATTACTTAAAAAATGCACTGAAAAATCTTAAGCTACAATTTTTCCTTAATTGTTGGATAAAATCGAAAACGTTATCGTGTAAATATGTATCATATTAAAAGATTGCATATATCCAAAGAGCCAATATGCAATTTCATGACGTATCACAATCAAACTAAATTATATCCATATTTTCAAATTAAATTATATGATTTTTTAAATAATTTTGTGTGTATATAAAGTACTAAAGTAAAAATATTAAAAAATTAATAATTTACGAGATATTTTGTATAATAAATATATGATTTTATTTCTAAATAAATTTCTCTCGACTTGATTTTCACAGTAATATTATTCTTAAAAAAATACATAGAAAAATTTCATTGGACTTGCAAAAAACCTATTGGAAATAATTGGACTATTTGAATATTGTACACTACTTATTCTAATAGTGTTTTACATTTTCAATAATACTTTTTTAATAGAACTATGTCAATTTTTAATTTCTGTCACCTCTGTACGTAATAGTAAACATTTTATTAAAACATTGCACTTTATTAAAACATTGCATTTTATTAAACATTGCATAAACAAGTGCATTATTTTCAAGAAGTCCTATCATATAAAAATTTATAAAGATGTGCACTAATACAAAAATCGGTGTCGAACAATCTACTGCTAGTGGCGTGATTTCGCGCCATTAATCTTTCTCCGACAATTAACCGACCGTAACGTAGCCGGCGGCTATTAATTGCAATCAAAGTTATATCATACAACTGGCTGATACGGAATTTAATTTGGTATACATATTCGGCAGAAGCATTTATCTTTAAAAATCATATAACAGAACTATTACATTCTATAAATAATAAACATATACATATGTGCATCGTTTGCACAGTGTGAAAAAAATTATTAGCATACATATTTGTGTATTCTTTTCTTTGGACCGGACTATGCATGTTAAACAGGTTCGTAAAAAGGTAACGGAAGAAAGTGAGTGTTTATCAGACATGTCTTCGATCGCGTGTTCTGTTTTTTTCCGGCAGATGCCGGGAACATTCAGTATTTTTTTCATTGAAACGGATAAAACTGAATGCCACAAATACGATTTTAATAGAAAAGAATAACGTATACTACACACACATACACAAGAAATTTAGATATAAAATGAGATATAACATGAAGTTCATCTTTTTATCTCTTTACGACTTAAAATATTTAATAAGAATAATTTAATAAATGTTTAATTTAGTTGAATAATCAAAACATATTACAATATGATAATTTCAAGCTTGATAATAAATCAAGAAATTAATAAAAAGAAATGAAACAAAGTAAAAATAATATCAAAAGTTGAAAATAGTATTTTATAGAAAGAAAGAGATAGAACGAGAGAGTGCAAAAGTTCTCCAGCGGCGAACTTGTGGAGAAGAGAGATCGAGGAAGGGCCGCGCCCGTTGATTAGCGGATATCTTAATTACTGATTGGCTGCGCGGACTAATTAAATCGTAACTCAATCAGGAGTCCGACCTGCCTCCTGCACCATGGCGATTTTACGAGCGTGTACGCGCGGTTTGGGGCCTCCACATACATACGTAAGTCGCTGATGGCGTATAGATGACTTTAAAGCTTTGAGTAATGCACTCCAACTACCCCCTCTCTACCCTACCCCTTTTACATATTCCTTCCACCGATCTTTCTCGCGCGGCAGTGTCTCTTTTTTTACCTCACCTTCTCTCTTTGCACGCCTTCTTTTTTTTTTCCATCGGCGACCTCCTCGCTCTGAAGCTGCCTCGATGGCATTATATTCGCATCGCATGAAATAAAAAGTACAAGTAATTAGTAGTACCTACCGCCGCGTCTCCTGTCCGTTGAGCAATGTCCTTCGGATCCTCCTACTTTTCATTCATATAAACCATTCAAGACATGAATTTTCAATAGCAAATCATGCAAATGCGATTTTTGTATATGTACTAATGTATATGAGTATCTTTCATTTCTTTGCATGTGTGCAATGCGGGCCCGTGAATTTCGTAATGCAAAGATCCAGACCCGTATATCGTTTCGCATTTAATAGCATATTTAAATTAAATGAATTGTTTTTTTTTATATTTACATTTGAATGGCGCTATTCTTATTATAGAAAATTAAATTTCATTATCGGGTGGTCACGATCAATACTAGGCATGCGGGTAAAGAATTTTATGTACAGGTACAATAACTCGTATTTTTTTCCATCATATTCAAGTAGGATAGCAATTAACTTGTAAGTTAATTATAACTATAATTACGATGGATCCCAAGAATTACGTCGGTGCACTTACAGTGTATCATATATCTTATACATATAATGTATTAGAAGTGTGATTTAGTTTTGAAAGTTTTTGCGATGGCATTAATGTCAATGTTGTCGAAGACATTCCAATTAAAGTTATTGTTTTTTAATACTTTAATGTTACTTTATAAATAAAGTAGTCATTTAATAATTAACGCAGTAAACATCGTGTAAATATTAATGATCGGAAAATGCCATTGCAAACCGATTAAACATTTGCATTTTGTTGATCGTCACAAGAAAAGAAAAGCTTTTTATATCAAATCATTAACAAAACTAATTCCTAATAAAATATATACTTATAATTGTTCGACTTAAAATGTGATAAGAATAATATAAAGAATGAGTTAAGAGAAAGAAGTATGTGTAATAATAAATTTTGATCTCTAAAAATTCATATCATATTATTTTATATTTTAATATAAATGCTATTTCCTCGATTCATGTGATATAAGAATATAAATTAGAATAAGATGTAAAATATACGATTAAAACGGTAAAATTTTATAATTGCGACAGAATAAAAAATCATAGTTAGTTTTATTTAATTAAGATCTCTGCTATTATACTACTACGAAATTCATTTGAATTAAAATCTAATTTTCTCACAGTTTCCAATATATTTTCAAAAATTCTAAAAATTCACTTGTTAATATAATGCCATTTAATTGTAATACGCTTTAAAAGTACACAATGTATTATTACGTACATTTAAATAAAAGATAAAAATATTTATGTCATAATAGAATTTTCCCAACACACTTATAAAGATTAAATAAGTGTAGAATTCCTGACCCATAGTTATATAATATAGTATCTATAATATTCAATAATTATCACTTTTTATATATTGTATTTGTTATCAGTGTGAATAATCGTAGTTATGCCAATGAAGAAATGGTTTTTGATCGCCAATTATTGAGATTTTTACGTGTGTATCATCCAATCTACAATGTAAAAATAGAATAAATTAAACAATATCTTAAAGTTAACTTATAAAATAAGACTATAATAAATAACCATTATTAATCAAATAATAATAATAATCTAACTTTATATAGATACATTATTATTATTATATTTAAATAGTCAATCATTATGATAAACAGAACCTTATTATCTTTTTTATCTTATTATATAAATATATATATTGTACATATATATATAAATTTTATTCTTTTTTTATCTTTAGTTGTTAAATGTAAAAATAACAAAAATGTTACCACTGTTCGACATATTCCATGTTTATCCAATCGTTGATTTTCTGGACATTGCGGTCTATCTGGTATCTGTATGAAATGAGTAAGAACAAAATTTTTGTTTTCTTGACTCTCCTGCTGTTGGTATTCGGTTCGTAATGGACGATACTTATCGTTGTGACAAGTCATTAATGATAAATTTATCATTATCAATACAATTACAGACATTACAAACATTTTTGTCATTTCTAATATTTAAATATTTGTCACACACGCACACACGTATACGAGTAAACAGCAAATTTAAATGTTATCCTAACAGTTAAGAATCCGAGGCATTACTGGTATTAAAATCTCAACAATTCTGATTCTTGTTATATTCTGACTGGTTCCTCCGAATATTTCCGCTATTTATAATCATCTTTACATGTGTGTGATTATGTAAACTATGATTTACTACTACTTCAAACTCGCTGAGGTATTAAAAATTTTGAAGTGTAGAAGAAGTGATGATTAAGGAGGATGCTGTCCTTGAAAATTAAATTATAAATATCGCGTTGCTTTGTAAAGATAAAACTTAATTGTAATTAAGATTAAGGGATTAAATAGCGATCTGTTTTTTTTACAATGTAAAAGTACATATCTTGACAGTATATGTATGTACATTGTTACCTTCCCCACTCAAAAAGTTTAATAGAAATAAATAAAAATTTCTGTTTCTTTATTGTGTATTAATTTTTTAAAATATAGAATTAAATATATAATGGTTTCAGACATTATACCTCAAGTCTAATTATCTTCCTCGATTTTTAACAGAATAATTAATGTCTTATTATGTTTTATAATTTAAATAGTTACAATAAAGTTAAATTAAAATTTTCTATAATTTTAATCTCTGTATAATCTTTATAATGTTTTATATGTTTCTATTAACATAATAAAATAAAAATTATCTTAATCATTATTAATAAACCATTTTAGTTTTCCTAAAAAAATTTATTTTAGGAGGAAAAAATAATTAAAAATTAATTTTAATCTATACATTTTTATTCTTACTTGTATTTATTTTAGCAAGTCTTTTCTAACCTTATCTCGTATAATCTTATCTCGTTCGAATAATTCTTTCGGTAGATGTAAAATTTTTTTATTTCCTGACAAAATGTTGACGACAATACAATGGCAACCAATAACAGTCATAAATATCAAAATTTTTCATTTTTGGTATGCGTAAAATTTAAGCAAAGTCAAGCCTAAAATTGACTACTTTATTGCCTTTAAAAATAAATTTGTAGAAATTCTTAACTAAAACCATTCCACAATTCCATGAAGTATATACATTCTACTAAGTATTCTTTATGTATTAGTCCTTTATAATCTGTCTTTATATTATGTCTAGACGATTACGTAAACGACTTAACATAATTTATCAATATTTTTATTGCCAACAGCGTTCAAGGCCAGTTGTAAAAATGATGTATAATTAACAAATTTCTTTAGGACTATAAAAAGTTATAGTCTTTAATTTAAGGATATATTAATAAGCTTTCCGTTATTCAAATATGACAATGTTAAATTTTTATATGAGAAAAAAGCTTTGTCGTTTAGTAATATTTTACAAAAAAATTATAAATAAAAATGTATTTGGGTTTTGCTGAGACTTTTTCATTGAGACTTTTTTTTTAAATTGAGCATTATTCATATAAATGACATAACAGTTCTTTAAATAATATTTTAGACTGTATTATTTAAAACATAAAGATATAAAAATAAAATATCGACAATTATATACAAATATCAGGGAAAAACGTAAATAATGATTCTCAGCAAAAACGCAATTACGAACCTAGATCTCGTGTATATTATTGAGAACACTTTATCACTGATATGTGAGCAGTAACTAGGTAGTAAACGAATGTCTTAACTAATGTAAAAGATGGCAGAGACAAAAAGCGTGATATCAGTATACGTGAATTTTGTAACAAATTAGTCCGGTATCGTTGACCACTAGAGCCGCGTGAAACCGCCTCTCTTTATATTTATAATAGCAATCGTTTCATCATCCCGATCGCCTTTAGCGGGGCGGTTAACTGCTCCATACACGGAGCAATTAATTACGCGTAGTCTGCATTAATCTTTGCAAATTGGGACCGAAATCTTCGGAGTACGCCCTACAATTTATAGTACTCCTATGGCCATTTGATTGAGCAATAAAACCAATCGTCCTAAAACAAACGCCGATTTCTTTTTTCAACTCTCTGGCTTGGTTGGGTTGTAAACGAACGATGAAAGATAAGGTCTTTTGTTACGAAATCATTATGTATACGTAGTGTTTCAATATAATTTTTAATTGATGTAAATCAGTATTTGCGATAAGAATCTCGCGATTTCTTTTTATTTATACGCAATGCATAATTAATAAAATATATCATATATGTATATATGTGTGTAAATTTTTATTTCTGTTAAACATAAAACTAAAACATACTTTACTCAAATTAATTGTCGACAGTATTTAACGCTTTATGTTACAACTGAATAATGTTATAAAATACTTTAATTTTGTTTCTTATTTATTCAATTTTGTCGAGAATTAATTTTTGCGCCTCATAAATTCTTCGGAAAGATATTGCCATTAATTCTTGTTCCTTAGACGTATATAACAAACGAATAAAGGACTGTACGCCGTTTCTCCCTACTACACAAGGTAATGACGTAAAGATATCTTTTTCCAGTCCGTGTTGGCAGCCCTAAAATATAATATATTTGACATTTTGGCCAAGAAAAAAACAATTGTTATTCACAAAAATATATTTTTAATTCATATTTATAAACAAAAAATTTACGTACATTTACATATGTATATATATACAATATATATCATATTTACGTATATATATAATTGAAATATTTCTTAATTTTTATATTTATTACTATCTTTTATTATAATAAATTAATGAATGAACATATATGTTGTAATTATACGATACTAAATTAATATAATATATTGTAATTATACGACGCTAGGAAAAGACAATAAGAAATACAGTTCTCAAAATAGTACCACTAAACAGAAGTTTAATAGTTTTAATAAAATTTAGATCAAGAAACCTTCATAAACGTAGAAACAGTAAAACAGGCGCAAGTGTTGCGCACGATAGCATCGACAATTTCGCCTGCACAGATTCCAACTGCCCAACTGTGATAGCCTTTCTTAAGAATCAATTCGTTATCGGTATTGATAACTTTAGCATGTAAATCGCCCCAGGATTCTGGATCTGTTCTTGTGCCGATCTCTTTATTTATATCTTTTAAAGGCATGCCCATTACCGCAACAGCGGACCAGACCGGTACTGATATATAACATAAAATAAAGCGTTTGTATATAAATGAGAAATAGATATCAACAAAAATCAACTAAATTAAGGGTCATCAGAAATGACAAGCTAACTCCTAACTTATCTGCCACTCATTTGTAATACAGATATATATCTGACATCTGTATATTCTATACTATAGTATTACTATACTATTACATATTTTGTATTGTAAAAGAAATATTTAGAAGAAAACCTTTCCGATTTTCGTTTCTACAAAGCTACGAAGATTTTACAGAGTCAGATTTCACAAATTTTTTTCTTAAATAATTAGATCTAATAATTAAAACTATCAGTTTTTATAAAAATTGTTTTATTATAATGAATAAATAAAAATTATCTACACTTCAACTGCAATACGTACATCAAAACAAATTTTTATTTTCTTTTCCTTAATATCAATCATGTTTCCTGATTATAAATTCGCAATCGCATTGCTATTTTCTTAGTATTTTAATTGTAACAAACAGAAATTCTCTGGTAGATGTCTCTATCGTGTCTCTAAGCGCGTGCCGATTCGTAAATAAAAAAATATCAAAATATTTATTACAATTTACATTACAATTTTAACTCTAATTACCAGAAGCTGGTCCGCTCTCGCCAATGATTAACGCTTGAATCGCATTTGCTGAAATTCCGAGTTTTTGAGCGATAAAATACTGAAATCTGCAGCTGTCTAAAAACGTTCCTAATCCTATAACACGATTTGGGGGAAATCCAGACAGCTTCATAGCAACGTACGACAGAACGTCAACTAAATAACATGATCAAAATTCATGTACTGCACTGTACTTGTGTAATGTCCAATTAAAATTAATCAATTTCAAATTGTAATGAGTTTAGAATATCTCAACAGAGAAGCATTGATATGCTGCTATTTATTAAATATATAAAATGCCGATTTTTTAGAAAAGCCAGACGATATCTATTTAATTTAAAGTATGAAACATACATTAAATGCATAGTAATGAGAATGTACCTGGCTTTGAAAGAATGAGAAGAACGCTGTTCGGCGCGTACTTGGAAATGTTAGGAATGACGTCCTTGAAAATTTTCAGATTATGCTCTAGATAATCGGCCGGCTGCAGATCTTCACGAGACTGGCTTCCAACTGTGATCACGCATACCGCTGCGTCTCTGGCACAAGCATAATCTATCGGAGCGTAATACACGTTGGATGATTTATCGCTTATCACAGAATTTTATTTGTTTTACGCTTTTACACGAGAGTTGTATTTTAAAAATAACCCTATTCTAAAAGATAAACCTATTCTATCTACTTTAAAAAAATTAGAAAGAATATAATATTTATAATATAATAATTATAAAATACTCTTAAGTTTTTATTGGCTTTATTTTCAAGAAAAAATAAAAATCGATCCGATTTTTATTTCTTGTTGTATTATAGCGATACTATCATTTATTAATTGCTAATTAATTTCTAAATATGCGTGTCGCTTGTACGTTCATCTAGCAACATCGCGTGAAATCGCGCGTAATTTATCTTAATTTTATTAACATTCGAGATGTCATTCAATGCAGGCAATAACGCGGACGTTACCTCTGACAATCTTATCGCTAATCGCAATTGCGCTATTTACTTATCGAACGTTAAAGCGTGGTCGTTTTGAAATAATTGCTCGTTACTCGCGGACAGTGTAATGACGGTCTCGCTATTTTTCTGCGGCCTCCTCCCATCGGGTTTCACCTTTGGTACCGACAATCCTGGGATTGCCGAGGTATGCTGCCGCATGGCTGATGTCTTCTGCTTCCGCCTTGGCGAGATCCTCGTTCACATCTATGAGGACGAGCTCGGAGGCGAGGCGCTGCGAAAAATCACGGGGGGATGAATGGTTGAGCAGGGTAGTAAGCAAAGAAACTAGCTAGAGAGTAATTAACGGCTACTAGTCGCTGCCCAGCAGGCAACGTTATTACGCGTTTCGAATCGTTACGCAACGGGAGCATCAGACTCTCCCCCCGGGAATCACATTAAGATACGAGTGAGCGCGCAATCAATCGCACTGTTTGCGAAGTCCCCTAATGCGAGAAATCGTTAAGATCCGATCAAGAAACAGTGTTGAGAAGTGCGTTATTTTCGGGAGAATCCACTTCATCGGTTTCGCTTTATCGTGGTCGTCGTGATTGCCGCTGGTAGCTGGTGACACAAACGATGTCTTATGCAGAGCGATAACTCATTCATGAATAATTATGGGACCGGTACGGCTTCTTCGCGTCGGTTCCTCTTCTCGGGGACTACCGTCCGTCCTACCTCCGGCAGTCGCTACAAGATTTTCGGCCGTAGCGACCGCGTTCCTCATGAAATGTCAAACGAGCATGAAGAATGCTTCTACGGCCCCCTGTCCGCACGTGCTTCATTTTTCTCCCGCAATCATGGTTTCCTTGTAAATGTTGGCTATTTGTTTCCCCATGAATTTTTTATAGTTTCATTAACGTAGCATACACTAGGGATACCCAAGGATATCGTAAACGTAACGTTATACGAGTCTGTGAAGTGTGGCAAATGGCGCGGCAAACGAGTGGTATAAGGGACCACTGGTAATCTATATTATGAACGATAGATCATTAAGTTTCGAACGGTTCTAATTTATGCAGGTTAATTTGTGGTATAATAAGATATTCGGACGATCGTGTAAATCACTCCGTAAAAGTTAATGGGCATTATTCTCCTAGGATCGTCGTATCGCATACAAACGCGTTTTTGTAGTAATGACGATGAATGGTATGTATTACATAATGTATATTAACACTTTACGTTATATACACTTTAAGATGCGTGTATACGAACAGATGGACGCATTTTCCTCGAACAGATGGTGCTTTCACACTTCACGTTAAGATAAACGGCAGACTAACTACAAAATGACTTCTTAATATATTATGTTGAGCTCTCCTGCTTCCGTTAGTTATACTGTGTTATTGTACACCGTTTAATTATCATACTTCATTAAGCGTGTCTTCCGAAAGGTGTAGAGTATCGTGAACTATTAAAAACTTTTGAATAGATCCGTCACTTTTGTCTTGTAATAATCATAAGCATATAATTTTCACTTACGCTTATTATATTTTTAATTACAAATACTTAGTAAATTTCTTTTTAATATTTTATTATATTTCTTCTTCTTTTTTGTATTATTTTTATTTAAAATGCTCATTAATTTCTTTTAATGAGATAAATGATTTTTTTGTAATGTAAATAAAAATATTTTTAATATTTTCTTTTCAATAATATATTGCATAGAAAATCATCAAGAAATATTTCACGTAAAAGAAATAATATTTGATTATTAGATTATATTATTAAGTATATAATGAAATGTTAGATTTTATAATAAAAAGATAGAAGACAGAATAAATCTCTCATCAGATTTTTGTCTTCTATATCGATCCATATTAAAATAATTGCATAGTTACTAAAACAGTAATTATTGTAAGTAAAAAATATTATTACTAGAAATGTATTTTATCAATGCAATGATGAAATGCAGGCAGTAGTAATTTTTCATTAACTCTTGAAACATTTATCCTCGTCGTGATAACATGTGATAAGTTTGGGAGCAGGCTTTCATTTCCTTATTTTACTGAATTGTTTATGCTCAAAATCTCTCACTATCTGATATCCTGTCTATAAGATGACATAACTGCTTACATATTAAATATCGATGTAGATATGACCCAGGATATACAAACGAAGTATCTTTCGCTGAAGGTTTTGCCTGTATAATTTGCACAGCTTGATACGAACCATCCAACACGGTGTGTCACAATGAGACAAGAAACGGAAAAAGACAAGAAGAAAAAAGATGTCTGACGCGTACAGTGAAGAATTTGGGTAGGTTCGCAAGGTGGACGACAAGCTGTAGTGATCGTATTTTCGTACTTTGCGATGATCTCGTTGATGCGATCTGCCACGCAAAATGCAGCAGCACGACTCGGTCATATCTTTCACTTCTTGCTCTTCTTTTTGAAACGCTTCTTCCTGTTTTTTTCCACAGCATCTTCGCCGAATGTTTCGGTAATCAGGAGATCTTCATGGTCATGCCGGACAAGCGTCATCAAAATTTTGAGTTCTGTAGTTATCTTATATGATCAATATTAGCTAGAACACAATGTTTCATATGTTTCTAATTAGTACATGTTTGGAATTTTTATAAAGATTAAGGAAGTCATTTGTCATTGTCAAAAAAGCCAAGAAAGCGGTTTTGAAAAAATCCATAATATTTGATATGGAACGCGGGCAATTTTCTTCAAAAGCTGTTATCACATACGATAACGGGTTTCCTAATATCCTAGTTATTCTCGGTACCATCCTAACTCCTCCTCGATAATATACACGATAAACTCTACTATATATTATTTATAGTCTCTCGATATACACCATAAGTCCATCCAACGAGAAGTCTATCGCCCGTCAGTTACGCCCTCCGCGTCCCACCGCATGCGCACACCATTGTTTGCCCTCGTAAATTTGCGGAAACCGAAACCTAGAATTAGTCGCCCACATTTATTACCCTCTACCGAATGTACTCAACATATGGATACAACACTAGCTGTTGCACCTTGCAGCCCACAATGCGTTCCGTCTAACTGTTAATTTTCCTCCTTGATGCCACAGATACTAAATTATGTCTAAACAATACAATGGTAATATATGGTTTCATTTAGAATGGTTACAAACCATTTCATGTTTCTCACACATTTTTCATTATTGTATAATTCAGGACTTATTAAGACCGAAGAAATAAGTCCATACGCAACTGTTGTCATGAAATTTCTAAAAAGTTTCTAAGCATACGTTTTTTGTAAAATCTTGAATCAATTACTATTGTATATTGCAATACTATTTGTATTCGTTTCCCGAGAATTTTAGACGAACTGTGTTATAAATTGCAGTCTCTCTCTCTCTCTCTATAGTTACTAACATAAATCAGTCAGTTAGGACCGTCTTGCGGGGGCGCATTGGCCGACGTGTAAATGCTCGCGTTACGATCCGATAACGAGCGAAAGGTTCGGCCCACTTCTCTACATCTTCTATAGTCTTCTTTCTGTTATCTCCCTTCCTCTTTCATGTTCCACCCTACTCCTTCTTATAGCCGAATTCCCTCTTCTGGTCTTCCCCGTGGATCATTTGCATAATAGCCTTTTTGAGCAGGCACACACTTACACTAACGAGCCTACATTCAGAAGCCCCTGTAGACCTGCAGGTATACTCATGCACGAACCTATACACGTTAGGGCATTCCTTGGCTCGTCCTTTGTTGGGTGCAACTCGAGGGTATATCTCCCGAGGTCCGCCAACGTGCAGCATTATATCTTTGATCCTCGACGAACAAATACGAATTACGTGCTCGAGCCATGTGGATACCGGCGCTATGTCTCATTCATTCGATATCATTGTGGACATGTTTAGATTGACGTATCGAGCACATTATCGTATCATCTAATGGAATGAGACACGGATCTATTACGCACACGTGCATTAATCAATGTTGATATACCTTCGAAGTATATAAATTGTACATCAATGAAGTAATGATATATTAGCATTGACGTTGACTTATATGCATCAGCATTTTTACGAAGAATAGTAATTTATGAAATGTACTATTAATATCAAAATATTACTCTGTTAAAAAAAAACAGATCATAAATTTCAGAGTTTGCATCCGGAATTACTGCAAAAATTAATTTGTAAATAAATTTTTATACATACGTAATATTTATCATAAAGGTTATAAAAAGAATTACAATTTTGTGTTAATATTATTTATGCATGTATCATCATATGCTTAATAAAAAATATGTGTTACTATATTTTATATAATTATAAAATAATTCAATCACTGTCGCATATATGCATAAAAATTAATTTAAAAATCGAAATGTTAAACACGAAAGGTTAAAAACTAGAAAAAAAATCGAAAATCCACTAACTTTGAATAGAATCGCTATAGCGACTGCAACACCCTTAGGCGCGCTGCCAACGACGACGACCTTGACACGATGGCCATCCACAAGATGTTCTGCCTGTTTGGCCAGTAAAACAGTTACCGTGTTGCTGGCTACCTCAGATGATTTTTTTCTCGTTTCGGTCATATCCGATACACGGATATTTTTCTACTTCGAGATATAATACCAAATAATTTAGACAAACCAAAAGTCACTTGACATCGTGAATATTTCTAATTGAAATCACAAAATTTGACGTTTTGTCATTAAAATTTACATAAGATAGGATGCATCTGGAAAAGCAGACAGTCGAAAAAAATATCTTTGACAGGAGGTCAATGAAGTTGACAACGAAAATGTAACAAGTAGATTTACTGTCAATTTGAGATGGCTATGAAATATGCAATAAGATGATTGTATTGGTTCTGTACGATCGAACGTGAGAGAACTCTCTCTGCCTTTCGTGTTCAACATATCTCGTATGCTCATAATGTACTATATGTACGAGATGTGAACTTCAAGTTATCTTGTAGCGGGAGATATACAATCGGATTAACACGTTCGATCACAGATGAAAAGATGCTATCGATAAATTCAATCAAATCGTACAGAATCAATTATAATCGGAAAGAATGCTTACACAAGCAGGTAAATGCTTGGGGCAGATGTAGAGACGAATCGCCAATTGGACGTATCGTTCGTATGATTTTCGTTTTTCTGCGGATAGAAGGTCGTAAAATTGATCGACAGCTGCTACGAAGCCGCACAGGTGGGATGCGCTGCGTTCTTGGAGAGATACTGCCAATTTGTATTTTACAGGATATTTCAGAAGGAACCGAAAAGGAATTCTTAGAAATCGACTCTTTTATTTCTTATAGATCTTATTAATTCAGTTTAATATTTTTTTTCTTATTATATAAAAGGGTAATTCTGTTTCATCCCAATAATTATTCAATTTCTGCGATTAAAAAAATTACATGTGTATATATAATTTCAGATAAAATACAACGACTTTACTACACAACAAGACCTAAAACTAAAAAACAGATTGTAGTTTAAATTATCCAATATCCTTTTTAGCCGCAACTCTCAACCTTGCATGCAATGGAGAGTGCATTTTCATCCGCCCTTTCACCTTTACGCTGTACATCGTTCGATTGCGTAAATCAAAATTCGATCGAGCAAAAAAGAAACGGTAATAAGCTTCGCACGCGTGGAATATTGTAGCGTGTACCGTTCGCAGGCAATCTTAGGAGAACGCGGCTGGTTTAATTTTCCAGGAAGTCGAGTTTCACTCATATATCGTTTATTATGACGATCGAATGTACGCACGCAGAAACCGGTTGCCAGGTGCAGCATTGCCCTTATTGATGAAGATACATTCTAAGACGTCGTTCCTTCTCTCCACTCCCTTTTCTCTTTCTCGCTATTTCCACGCCACGTATCCGTTCGCAAGTCCTTTACGTTTCTCGCTCTCCTCTTTTCCTGGGCCCACCGGTCGTCACTCTTCAATGTCGCTCGACTCGCGAAGAATGCCACACTCACGCAGAACACCGCGGATGCTGTCGGCGCACCGTTGTACCGCCGTCTTTTCCTGATCGTTCAGCTTCTGTCGCACCGTAGCGTATACACCTTCCCGACCGAGAACACAGGGTACCGACATGTACACGTCTTTATCGGTCCCGTGGGCGCAACTCTGTGAACAGAAATTCTTCGATCTTGTTTTTCCTGTCGTACCAATCGACATGCGAATAAGTGCACCTGAGAACGCTTTTTTCAAGGTATAAAAATATTTTACTTGTTAGTAAAGAGTCAGCATAATTATTCTATAAAGTGGATAAAATACAAAAAATGAATTAAAAATTATCATTATTATATAATTATAAGTAATATACGAAATTTCTTTCTTTCATATTCGATTATTAATTAATTATCCTGTAATCTAAATTTTGTTCCAATTGGTATCAAAAAAGGTAATATTGAGTTTTTATACAACTCAAATGTATCGTAGAATTAAAATAACGTATTTCTTTAATTAAACGTATCAAATTAATATGTTTAATTTTAGAATAACACTAGCAATAAGCTAATGGAAAACTATAAAATTCACTCAATAATTTTACAGAATGTGTTAACTTGATTATATCTCTCACATGTATATACGTCGACACTGGCAACACGGCTTTAGTATTCCTGACGACGGCGTCGACGATCTCAGCGGTGCAGAAGCCGAGAGCCCAACAGTTCGGTCCTCTCTCACCCTTCTGCCGATTAAGCTTCGTGTCGCTGTAAACACAACGCGAAGATTTTATTACTTCCTTAAATTTTCTCGAGAATGTCCAGTGATCTTAACCACTGACGTTTTATTTACAGCTTCGGAAATGTCACGCCACTTCTCGGGATCATCCGCTTCTCCCATTCGTGGGTTTATGTCTCGTATCTTCGTGCCCGCCACGTGAACGTTTGACCATATGGAAACTGTGAAACGACAGATGTTGGAGGGAAAGAGACGTCGTTAACTGTTAGGTCGTCTATAACTATAATATGTGTAATACTTTTCAACGTGAATAATATCTATATGTAAAAATAGATGCAATTATTGGTATACAGAGATATAGTAATCTAATAAGATCTTATCACTATATGTAAATACTATTCCAGCAAATGTGACTGCTATATAACGTAAATACACACATTTTATATCGCTATATTATATTCAGTATTTACTTATATATTTTTTATAGAATTGCATCGAATCTATGTAAAATTAGTCGGGATGTCAATCAAATACCAGATGTGTCGCCCTGCGCGCCCATACTCATGCAGTTGATTGACGTTCGCGCCAGTCCCAACTTCCGACTCAGTAAATCCTGAAACCTGCAGCTATCGAGCAGAGTCCCCGTGCCAAGCACTCTGCTTGAAGGAAACTTGGACAACTTCCAGGTGATGTACGACATCACGTCAATCGGTTGAGTTACAACTAGTAATACCGCCTTACAAGCCAACTTTGCAATTGTAGGAATGATCTTCTTGAACACTTCGATGTTGTGCTTGACATTCACCTCCTCCTCAAGTTTCTTTTCACAAACCGCAATTACTACTACTGTCGAGTCTTTTATCTTGTACATATCTAAAATACAATCTATTGTATAGTTCACATAAGATTATCGTGGAATGTGGTGAGATTTCTAGATACGTATGCATTTTAATACTTTAGCTACATTTTCCTGAGAGAGTTAAGGTATAAATCGTTTCGAATCTTTAGAGAAGACACTATTCACGCGAAAGGAGCCGTAACGGGAAATAGCTTCGTTAAGAATCAGATACGCCTTTCCGGGGAACCTTTAGTCGGAGAACGACGTCTTTATTCAACCGCGCAATCATCAGCTCCTCGGAAGTGCGTGGAATACAAAACGACGAGAGTAAATAAGAAATTTTCTCCCCTTTCGAGAGAGACTCACCATCGGAAGAGATGCGCCGATAACGATGGCGGGGAAGACAATCCGGCATGGTCGGAAAAATAAAGAGTACAGATCCAAGGCAACACCTTCACAAAATGCTTGTAGTAACACGCAGTGGTATCGCAACTATACGGAAGATACATTTACGACGGAGAAAGATGTTGTTACAGATAAGTTGGCAAGCCCGTAAAAAAGTCGTCCCACTTGTTCCAGTAATTGCTACCTCGCACGAGACAAGATCAGAAGAATCATTCCGCTATCCTTTATAAAGGTATAAATATACGGACGCTACGCGTTGTACGCAAGGCCGAGAAAAGTCGAACAAACCGAAATCATTCCTAGGATCAAACGTGATGCAACTCGATGAAACTACCAACGAGATCAAACCTGATCGTACTACACACTTTCCGTTACTGTCCTGAATTCCCACGAAGAACACAATGCTTTTATAACCAGCCGCTCATCGGACGGGGTAACTGCGCGCCGTACGCACGCTGGAAACAGAAACAGAAAACCGCGTCGTGGAGTCGATCACGGCCGAGATAAATAAGAGTGGACGAGATTTACGAGAGTGTCCGTGAAAAGCTCGGGGGAAACGTTCGTCCAGTTCACCAGCGTATAAGCGTCCGGCGATGTAGATGAGAGTAGAGATTAAAAGACAGGTCCGAGGGAATTCTGGCCTCCAAACTTGCTGCTAACTCAAAACCCACCTATATGCAGTGAGAACGTTGTTTCTGAATCGCTGCACGTTGACAGGGGCCTCTTGACGGGCAACCTAACGGATCGTCGATTTAAAATGGGTGTTGATCGGAGCTGATCGTGACACACTGCAGGTGACGGCGGATTCATCAGTTCGGACGTATCAATCTAAAATTTCTGGAATTTGTGCTGTCGTGAGCTGCCTCGCACCTAACGCGCGAAAGACCTATATCGTCTATGGACGTTCACGACTCGTTGATTCCATGATTAGAGCACGACGACGAGATCTAAAGTGTTAACCGCTATGACAACACTGGCTTTATCTGACACAGATAACGTGATGAGACGTTTTACGTAAGGATGATGTATGATCGGAAAGCAATGGAAAGTAGTAAAGTTGAATAGATGTATAGGTATTGTGTAATACCTGTACATAGCTTTTTATTTATTGGTATTATATATAATACGTAAATATATATCTTTAGTACAAAAAGTACCTGATGTGCCAATCACCAGAGGGCATCCTAGAAAGATACTAGCGTGCTGAATGTCTTCGGCTTCGGCAGAAGCTTTATCTGAATTTTGATCGATCAAACAGATCTCACTTGCTATGCGCTAAAAATATTACGCAAAAATAATTAATAAAAGCTTGTGAATTTATATAGGATTTATCCAAGAATTTCCGTACAAACAAATATGTTTTATAAACTGAAATAAAAAAAGTATTAAATAGAGATCTTAAAATATTGCATAAAAAATTTTTACATGTAAATATATGAAGGTTTCCTAGCTACCTTCGCAAAAAGGTAAAAAGATGAATTCAAAATCATATCGATTCAAGCTTGTATTTACATGGACGGATATCATTTTAAAGTTTAAAATGTAAACGTGTTTCTTTCAAAAGTATAATTGTTTTTTATACGTTTCATACTTTTGTTTAAATAAAACATTTTAGAATCTATGTTTATATAATATTTTTTTCTTATTTTAGCTCATGGAATACTGTTAGAGATTGTACGAAAAATTCTGGGACACTCTGTATATAGTAATAGCCCTATATATATATATATATATATATACTGTATATATACTGACTCTCATTAGAATTGCA